ATATATTACGTCAACTTTCTAAAAGAACCTTTTTATCCAACACCACTACTCTTCGGCGCTTAATGCACATTTTGATATCATTTCATCAACATGCAAAACTCAGTACACTGCAGGTGACGGTGGACTAAAGTCTTGTTCCAAGTCATATTTAAAAATAGTACACCACTTTGTTCCCATACCTCTCAATGATAACATTCTAGTCGTCAAGCATGCATATTATGTTAAGTATGCTGGGGGCCAATTTCATTAAAAGCTTAACTGCCAGTTCATTACAACACCAAGGTGAGCACTAACTGAGCTTTGTTTTCAGCAAGTAAATACTTCAAGTCAAAAACACTACAAATTATCCCAACCTAATTTATTGACCAGAAGGATAATGCGACAGTGATTTGGATCAACTAAATAGCTCTCTCCTGTTGATTGCTCTTATGACCAAATTGCTTATTAGGCCAAAAAAAGACGAAATCACGTATTCCCATTGTTTGATACTAGCAAATACCTGATTAAAGCAGACAGGTTCTCGTCTATGGTGGACAAACTTCCATTGTATAGATAATTAAAATGCAAGTAAATCACCGTCAGTTTTAAATTTGGACTGCCTTACATATTTGCATTCTCAACCCCGTCGTTCACTGATTCATTCATTTAACTAGGACTGAAAATCCGTTAATATATCCAACCTAATTACTCTCACTTACGCACCATTCAGAAGGTTTCATTTAAATTAAATTTGACATTGTGTGAATGTTAGTTTAAGTACAACACTATTCTTGTTGGCTGCGTGTGCACAACAACCAAAAGATAACGAACTGCCCTTAAAAATTCACTAAATGTGACTCTTATAAGTTGACTCACCTTAGATATATAATTTTGAATGTCAGAAGTGTCGTGACCCACCCATGCTGCAGAAAGTTTTTTTCTTAGGTGAATATAGACAATTAAGGGTCCACCTTTATGTCATTGTAACAATGTTTTAATAGTATGGACTGCAAATTTGATTTATGTGAGCTCGCTGTCCTGTTTATTATTATCGGAAGGTCTTTTTAATCATTTCTTCAGTTACTGTATCGTCAAGACAAACTTAACAAAATACCTCAAAAACGAAAAATTCAAGAAATTAACTACTTGTGTTATTTGCCCTTACAACAAAACATGTGGACTTGTTTGGAAGTTCTTCTGATACAGATAAAAGCCATTTAAACAAGTCAACATTTAGCTAGCAAATTGTTTAATTGAGGGCAGACACGTAACATTCTCGAAATTGTGGACACAGTAGTGCTCAGTTGAAACTTCCTGAACCGCTTTTTGTGATGTATATTCAATTTGCAAAATTCCACTGAAAAGCATTTGCTTTTAGCAATCTAGTAATCACATCAACCATTTTTCAAAATTGAATGATCCATTCTACTTTCAAGCTATGACCCAGCAACCATTTAACATAGGATAGAAATTTAGGCATCCTAAATAAGAGCTGATGACAGCCAACGCGGTTTTCGGTTACGCCTCATTACAAAAACCTGAAAACAGGGTCTACTCTCGTTGTTCTTGTGGATCTGCTTTTGCCTGTCATGCCGTAATTGCTACGTACTATCTGGAAAAACAGTGACTGTAGTCCGACTCTAAAAACAAAGTGTTAGTATACGGTTTCGCCTTCATGCTCCTTCCAATGGTCAACCAATTTTTAATACAAGGGTATGCAACACACTCGCACAAATCGATTCTTGGTCGCATCGAAGTGTAAAGACAGCACAGGCTTCCTAAAACTTAATGATATATAACCACTGAAAATGTAAGCAAAATATGACTGCGTTTTCACAAGGAATGTAAAAATTTCAAACGAGGAAATCTATGGCTTGCAAAAAGGTAGCTTAACTCCCAAAAATCTTATTCCTGAACATGTTAACCGATCTAAGTATTAGTGGAAATTTTTTATGCTATGCAAAAAACTTTGAGGGATTTGATAACCCTAGAAGATCCAAATTCAAATAATTTTCTTTTGTCAAACTAAAAGCCCCACTTTAAAGTTACTATTGGAAGCTACCCTTGATGTGTCAAAAACATTCACATATGTAGTCAATATAAATATGTACGATGTTAATGTTGCAATGTTTGTTCGTGACACATATAGCGTTTCAGTGAAAAAGAAGGAAAATCCAAATTCTAGAAAAATCTCAGAGTATTTTACCTTGTCACGTAAATTAGACACAGGGATCTTAAATTTAAATGAGAAGGGAAGATTTATATTTTGTAATCAATAACCGCATGACCTCCCGTTAAGCTTGGAGGCTAACAATACATCAGTCGATATTAGAGATTAAATCTAAGGATGATAACTAAAAGTTGCATAACTAAGCCACTTACGGTCCAGCGAAAAATCTTGGTTGTTTAGGATTCACGTCATAAAGTGGTCCTGTCGTAGTAATGTGGATTAAAGAAAACAATTGCTGTATATCTCAAAGGATATTTCAAAATTTCTGTTAAGTGAGAAGGTACAAAATTTTAAAAATTTAACCCTACGTAATAGGTTAATTGAAACTAAAAACGTCGCTTCGTTCTTAAATCAAATTTATTTTGTGTGTATAATCAGTCCAACCGACATCAAAGCGACTAATTTTGTTAATCGGGTCACGGTTCGATCCTGCAGCACGCAGATTCGTGGGTCATGATCGCGCAAAAAACTTGTAATTATGCAAAAGAAATGTTTAAATTGCTGGTTGGTAAAAAAAAACATTTAAATCGGGAGGTAAATATCAGGAGGAGCGTCAAATGGCCTTGGCAGGGGATCTAAAGGAATGACTTAGCTTGGTGGCCAGTCATGTGCCAACCGTAGTGACGGTGATGAAAATGATTCGCCACAACATGTCGACTCTAATATATAGAATGATGTTAGGTAAACTTTTTTAAGGTTACACTGTCTTACAGCACACTGTCACCTAACAATATTGTGATAAAGTAAACATCAGTGCAATCAAAAGTGAGTGCTCCTGCCATAAGTGAAAACGTCCGACCGAACCTTTGCAATTATCCCATGTATGAGATGCTTCTTGGTAGCGGATGAAGAAAGCCATAAATAAGGATGATATATCTTCATTAGCTTTAATCTTTGCAATTAAACATTGCGTGACAAGAATGTTACCATGTTAAAGCCTGCGGAAGAAAGAGAAATTTTTCGATTTAATTTTTTTTCAAAAAAGGGCTGCAAACGAAGTGTTCGCATGACAAACAAATGCGAATAATATTCAAGATCTTACTAAGTTTGTAAATTCTGTCTTAAAATTGTTTTCAGTTTCAGCTAAGCAGAGTTAGATTACTTTTAAACAGTAGACCATGAAAATCACTTAGAATATTTCATTAAAATCGTGTCTCTGGACTTCAAGAAGTACTCAGAACCAAACCCCCATACTTTCCAAAATCTATGTTTCTTCTCTGATAAACCATAATTATAAGTGCCTAATATTGTCAAAATGATTTTTGGCTAAAATATTATGCACTTTTGTAACTTCAGTGATGTACATTTAGAATATTTGCAAACAACTATGAAGTAGCGCTTTGTTAGAAAGAGCTGAGCTGCCAAATTACAGTGTTTGTGGATTTAGTCACTGCCTGATCTTTACAGACATGTTGATTTGCATGCCATATCTATTATAAGTCATTTTTGGGACAATTTCGAAGTCAAGATTTAATAACAGTGGGAACTCCTGCTTTCAGTATTCATTGTTGCTGAAAGTTCTCTTTTCAAACTGTAGGTTCAATAAGTGTTTAAGACTCAGACTTAAACATAATCTTCTTAATTCTTGAAAGTTATTAGTGTGACAAATTAACCACGAACACAAATCAAGCGTCATGCTAAGCTCTGAATATCATAATTTATTGCATTGACGTCCATTTATTTTTACCGCTAAATTAGTTTTCCTTCTTAACTAAGCAGTCTAAATTACCTTACCAATGTGCAAGTCAACTGCTCATAAATCTTTTAGCTTTGTGAGTACTTATCTGAAAGAGAACTTACCTATTATTGTGAAATTTTCTCAGAATTAATTTCCTTCGGTTTATGTCCATCTTTTATGTTTAGTCAGATTATGTTTCACCGATCCAATTGTCCTAAATGAGGCCAACTTTTATCCAAAGATTTGAATATTTTGCATGAAATATCATTCATTTGAAGTATTTGAAAACCCTCATTTCTAATTTCACTGGAAATAAGACAGACTAACTGTTCACTTAACTCTTAACTAAAAAGCCTTATGTGATGAAACGGCGATAACTTCGGACAACTACCAATGGCATATTTTTTCCGTTTTATTTATTATGGCAAATATTTCGCGTAAACCGAAAATCGCATTGCAAATGCCTGTTAACCGATGGTCTAGCGTAGCACCCCCGCCCCGAAAAGCTATCAAACTGTCAGAGGTATGCCAAATTTATCGCTACATAACCTTACCAAAATCCCACCTGCATTCATCTTTGTGAATTTCGCGTTTTCACATCGTAATTAGATACCATGGGCTTTCCGAGGATAGACAAATGTGGTGACAGAAGAGGTTACAAATGCGGTAAGCCTTCTAATAAAAAATTGATGCTTATTAATTTGTCTTTATTCTCTTCTCTTAAACCCTGAGACTCTTAATTTGTGCACAGATTTGATAACCGGTTCAAGATTTAGGTTATTGAAGACATCATTTCCTTTATTATAATAAATTATTACACCGACCTATTTTTTTCCTAGTAATGGCTTCCATGGTTATTAATAAGGGTCTTGTAAGTGGACACTAGTTGTGCACCAACCTGATTTAACGTGGTGATGATTATTAAATTTAATCAATTTGATCTGAAGTCTCAAGTTTAGCTGCTAATTTAGTGAATTCATATTTAAACTTACATTAAAGGTGATAGTTGGAAGTAAATAAATCGTAGGCGAATATCTTATTTAGTTGCTAGCCAACTTTTGTAAAATTAAATTCAACTAAACTGCGCAGAGACATTAAACTATTTGTCATCGGTCAAGTACCGTAACTATTAGACGTTTGTTCTAGTTTTTTGAGGGTAGCATCAATACTGGCCTCGTTTCTGTCGATACAAGCAACGCAAAATTCCGGATCGGCAGAAATACCACTCTGGCATTGCCGACAAATTGCACAAGCATCCACAGGGCAAATGTACATTGCCGGTCCCGGTTTCTGCACATCTCGACAAATAATACAAGTACCCTTTTCGAGTTTAAGAAGTCGCGCAATGGAAGGTGCAAGATCAGCTATGGCTGGTGGCTTTGAGAGTATCCGCACTTCCTCCTGCAGACGATTTTCCTTGACGCGCTGAACGAGTAAATTCCTGTTTGTGCTCAGATCTCTTGCCCTGTTGGCTAGCATTGTATTGTACAAATGCATTTGTCGTCTTCGATGGGCGCAAGGGTAGAAGAAACCCATTAGCACATGCCGAAACCGAAGCAAAAATCCGGAAAATGCTGCTAGGATGAGTAATACTGCCCACAACAGTCCAAATCGGAACTTGACATTGTGAGAAGACATGATAACATTTGGGGCACACGAACTCAGTTTGTAGCTAAGATCAATATTCATCATGTTTTTAAAGCCATCTATAATACCTTTTAAAACTTCTGCCGCAAAACCATCTCCAGCTAGGTACATAGCGGCTGCACCCGTGTCCGATTTTCCACTACTCCCGCCTAGCCTGAGATCGCCTTGAGTGACGACATCAAGAACTGTCATTAAACTATGTAGATATCCGTCAGCTGCAAAGAGCAACGTTAAGCCGATTCCAAGAACTGAGGCTTTAATCACATCCTTTATCGCTCGAATCAGTTCCGCTCCTGTGTAGCCCCGCTTACGCCAGAAAACTGCCTTCCTTTCGTGAATCTTTAGTGGAAGCAGATACATTCTAGACTGTTTCCTCCGTCTTTCGTCTATTGCCTCATAAACGTCTTCCACGTATATGTTGTCAAAATCCATGTCTACAAGATAATTTGATATGTATCCCTGAGTTTTCAGTAATAGTTTAACAAACAGCAGTTTCAACAGAGTGGATGCGAGGAGAACAAGGGCAAATATTGCATTCGTAGCGTCAATTGTTAAATATGTTAGCTGCTCAATAGCATCCTCTGTATCGTGGTACAAGGCGCTTGCTTGTTCGGCTGCGCTCTTCAACTTTTTATACCCCGTAGCAACTTGGAAACTTTCGGCAAATTGTTGCAAACCCGATTGAGCTACAGCAAATTGAGCTCCAAATCCATCCTTTAGCCCGATGTTATAGCCCCCGTTGTCACACTGGCTTTTGGCTTTAGACAAAGCTTCACTGGTGGGACAGGCAGTACCTTTGGTAACTTGTGAGGAGCACCAGGGACCGATGATGAGTGGAAGACCTGTTGATAAATACGCCGCAGTTTGGATGCGATAGCACGCCGTTACGGCGCCTTTGTTACATTGTTCAGTCTGAGCCTGCTGCATAGCCATGCAGGCTTTCACAAGACGTCGACGCATATTGGCGTCTATCTTGTGTCCCAGTGCTACAGCAGTCTTAATGCCAGCACTATCGTTTGTCCCAAGTTTAAGGTTTTGAAAAGCAGCGTCAATTTTGGCTTGCATTATCTTTTTACGAACACGCATTCGCTCCTTTTCCGAGGTGTCCATCTCAGCCAAGTGACGCTGGAATGCTTCACTAACTCCGTCATTAGCAGCTGCAACGTCAGCTGTTGCTTGATTTGTCTCTGCCGTTTGATTCGCAGTCCCCTGAGGTGTGACCGGAGGCTTTGTTGCTTCAGGATCCCTTAACAACTTTGCAATAAAATGTGATAGTGGATTAGAGTAAATTAAACTCAATTGTCCTCACTTGATTTCTTTGATCTCAAACATCTTTAGCGGTAAAGTGAAGTTGGAAATGAGATTAAGTGAGGAAGTGGTCCTACAACATGTCAGAATTTCGTTTTACACAGACTAAGGATATTTAATACTGTTACTGGTTTGCACAGTAATACGTGCATTTGTGAGCTAATTTGCAATTTACACACAGCTTATTTGTAGCTAATGTCGGTGTACATCCAGGAGAAATTTCACTTAGACAGTCGTTTTAGGACAGTACAAAATTAAACACCTGAATTCTAAGCTTGAATATTGCATGAACATAATCTGACAATTTGTAAACGACTGAGTTAAAGGTCTCTGACTTTCCAAGCAATATAGAAGGGATTTTAATCGTCAAATTGTTAAGTAAATTCTTCGTTGTTTTTCACGCAAATGCAGAATATAAAAAGTCACTCAGATTCTGATCCGAAGTTCAATAATTTCGAATCAAACAATTTACAGAGGCTCTACGTTAATATAGCGCAAACTAAAAGCGTGAAGTAGGGATACTAATGTACAAGCTTACCCCTGTAATAGCATATTTGGCCTCCTGTTGTAAAGCGTTTAGTTGCAAAGAAAAGAACAAGGTTTTAATTGCGCCTTACTTGTATACAGAATACTACTTACTAAACTATAATTTGTATGTTTTAACAAGCGATAATGTCAAACTCCTTACCTCTTTCTCCACATCCATAGTTAAGTTTTGAAATCCAAGGGCACCTTGTGTTATTCCTTTCGACGCTTTTTTCATCACCTTTGTAAAAAAGTGATTAAACTCTGAAAGACTTTTTAACTTTGGGTACTTAATGGGTTTTGACTTAGTATTACTCTTTTCGGTCTTCGTTACGTTCACATGTGTCGCATTAAACGTGGTACTGTTATTTCCAAGAGGTCTTGGTCTTCCGCCATCTAGTTCGTCTGGGTCTTCCTCCTCCTCACTTTCATCTGTTGTGGGCTGCTTTCCACTTGGTTTAAGCAGTTTGTTTGCGTCTTTAGTAATATTAGCAGACAACTTCATCAAACAGGTGAGTGACGCTCCTGCTGCCTTGAGGTTTGTGGCCAGTCCCCGAACTGGTCCATGAACGGCCACACTCGTCAGCTCAGCTGCGAGAAACGACTGACCTGCAGATAAACCTAGAGTGGGTCCCAGCAGAGCAAGGAAGCTACGAAATCTCTTGGAAATAATGGCTGCTACGACAAAGGTAATTTGCACAAGAACACTTGTCATGTGACCCAGTTCTTCTACAATTTTCTCGCGTTCACCTGGATCCTTGACTATTTTTGCCACATCGTTAGTATTTTCTTCTGGGTTTGTTTTGTACTTTGTAATAAAAGCAGAAATTAGAATATGTGATCCAATCAATCCATACAAAGCACAACAAAGTACGCGTACAATGGTGACAATGTATCCCCCATAATAATCATTGCTTTCAACTTCAAGTCTGGAGTCCCCGTCAGTGTAGAGCACAGCCTCTAATAAGGGCAAATAAGTGCGAAGAACCCGACGGAAGCTGCTTGTCCTGATCTGGCTTGGGTCCCTTGATCGTCTGGTGTAAATTCGACGAATGTACGCACTCTCCTGTTTGCCGTTTGTTACTAAACACCACCCGATTCGTGTTTTCTTTTCTAGCCACCCAGCCTTTACCTGAATAGACGTTTCTTGCAGTTTTGCAGGTGTCGCAAACAAAGGAGTGCCTTGAATTGCACGCAGCAGCTTCGTGTTCGAAATGTATTTTTCACTTTTTCTTTTGTCGTTATTAATTGAAGATAATTTCGCTTCATTTTTATAAGCCGCAAAACCAGTAAATAGAAGACAAGTGATCAAGAAGATGTTAAAGAGATTGGCATACTTTAGGAAGCCACTATGATAAACTTGGAGTTTTTCTGCAACGGCGTCTACACAACCTCTAGAATAAACGGGAATCTGAGTAGCCACACTGTCTGACTTGGTGCGATCAGGAAGAATCTGCGAATGGATTACTGGTGTTCTGCGTGGGTCAGAACAACTCCTGGGTATGTAAATAGCACCTGACTTCACAAAATCTGTTGCATTATCAGTTATTGTTTCGATTTGAAACCAATCCAATACACTAATTGCACCACAGCATCTAAAACTCCTCTGTATGGAGTCTAGGTAGTAGAGTAAAGTTTGTTGTCCTGGTGCAACTAAAATAAGATCAAAATAAATGTTAAATTTTAAGCAAACAAACGCAACAAATTAAAAGGCTCACAATGTTTACGCATTTGTGTTCACAAACTACCTGCTTTGTATTGGTATTTGCTTGAACCGATTTACTTAAAGTTAAATTCAAACTTCCTACTTTTACATGTCTCAGCCTTATCTGGCATTATCGTCTTTATTGTAAATCACCCACGATTACTGGAGTCTATTTTTAACATGAAACTACTTGCATTTAGCTAATAAATAGGAAAATACTATGTAAGTGAGCTCACAAAACTTTTCTTTTATGCTGTGATTTTATTTAATTAAGTTTTTATTCCCGACTCTCCATGACTGCACCGAGTCCCTCATTCATCTGCTGTTGTTTACTTGCCATCATTGAACATGCGCTACCGGTAAGACTAATAGGTAAACACAAATTCCCACCAGGCTTCGAAACTCGTTTCCCGTAGTCCTCTTATTTGCTGTCCATAATAAACGACCCCCTATTAAAATGTACATAATCACACACCTGCTTTTGTTAGCCAATCAACTCTCTTGCCATTCTAATATATTTGAAACCTCGATCACTCACAAAGCATACTGGCACAGAGCTTTGTGCAGGAAAGCTAGCTTAATAATCGGAAGCTAAATGTAACTAGAATATGCACTTACCTCGTGTAAAATCCTTGGTCCGAAGGTTATGAAAAAGATGGTTAAAAAAATTTGAAACATCGCTTTTTAGCAAACCGCCTTCGTCAAAGGTTAAAATCATCGTAAAAACGCCTGTCAGCAATAGCGTTAATGTCAATGGGCGTATAATGTACCTCCACAGTTGTAGCAAGACATGCTCTATTAGAGCTCGTTTGCCTTGCAGCCATTGCTGGTTGGTGATTGTAAAAATTGTGTTAATGAGCCAAAACACACCACACACAGCCGTGGTGGGTAATTTGAAATACAGAGTATTGAGCGTCTGCCTAGTGATTCGTTTATAGGATGACAACTGAAGGTCAGAAACCGGAAGAAATAAAACTGTAGATATCTCAGGAAGGTACCAAAATGCTGTCAGACAATCATGACAAATAATTATCAGAGTTAAAATAAAACTAAAGAGCGAAATTCGCAGTTGATGCATGTAATGGTTTAACACTGTGAATAAATGGAAGCCAATACCAGCTTGTCGTGCAGATTATTGATCCCAGCTCTAAACCACCCATTTAAATTTAAATACACGATGTTTGTGGTTACCACCAATAATGCGCTAACTGGAGTGATTCAGTTTCACGAATTTACTTTAAGAAACATGCAACTTTACAGTCATAACGTACAGACGTTTCTGTCACTCCATTTTAATTTTATTAAAGCGTCAAAAGAATAATATGTAATTGTGAAATTGCGAGTTTGTCCTGTAGTGTAATGGGTAAAATGTGTTTTTCTAAAAATTTTTACCACCTGTGGCACTTGGATACTTCAGAATTTGCTATTATCCTTTTGGCAATGTATTTGATTTTTTTAATTAAACGGTAAAACTAATAGACAAATATCCTGATTAGACAATCCTAAAATTATACCTTTCATTAGAATAATATTATATTTAATCAATATATTTGCATGCATCTATCCATTTTCTGTCCCACCTGTGAAGCAACTAATGCCGTAGATACTAGAGTGAAACTTAAATTTTTGATCACCAAGGCAATGCCTTAAGGGTCAATCTTGGAACAAAATTATTGCATTTGTAAATTTCCTTTCAGGTTTGCATCGGCAAGATTGATATAATGGTCTTAAAGGCCAAAATATGCAAAATCAATTAAATATCCCTTATTACATTTATTAACTAATTTCCGTTCTCGAGGGCACATAGAATGTTAAAATAGGGCACTTTGCATTTCCTGTCGGCCATTTCAGTTGCAAATTCTAACAGACAGAATTCTTTTTTATCGCTCTAATTTACTTAAATGTGATTTGTTTTGAGAAGAATGTACATTTCTACCGTCAAATTGTTCTGAGCTGAATACTGTAACCAATTGTCTATCTAAATAATTTTCTGCTTTTTGCATCAAACAAACAAAATAAGTTTTTTTGCAACCCAATCTTATAAACGTCGTAAATTGCTCCAAACTTTTATACCAATACTTGCTTTCTATTGGCGAATCATGTAACAGATAACCCCAGGGCCTCTAAACGCTTAGACAAATACGCGGATTTGATCGAAAAATAACGTCAGTTACAATATGTTGTGGATTAACTTGCCGGCCCGATTAAAACTCGGCCAATGATCAATTGGGTGTTTCGTCTAATCCACCAAATCAGGAAGTCAAAGTGCGATCGCATTCTATGCCCCCAGTTCCGGCTAAGTAACACTTGCACCTTTGTATTAAAAAATCTATTTATGACGCATTTTTATCTCATTTGAAAATGTCAGCAATCAAAACTACTCTTGTGACTTTTGCAGCGGCATTGCAACGCAATTTTAATTACAAGATTAAAAAAACCAATTTTAATTTGGAATTTATAATAGCCGTTACATTTCAATCTAAAATGCAGCGAATGTCTTTGCTCTGCACAAGTTTTAAGCAAAATAAGTGTTATGTAAGTGATTTCTAAAGCAGTATTTTGCGATTCTTTAAATACGAACAGAGATTTACCTGAAAAATAAAGCAAAAGCAAATATCATAACAGCACAAATTTCCCAAAACATGGCACAAAATTAAAAGATTGTGATAATTTAGGCATTTAAGTCGATAGAAATTCAGCAAACAGAACAGGCAGCCAAAGATTAAACGTGTTTATTTACCTCTGTACGTCCATCATTTATTGGCCTTATTGTGATCACTTTACCCGTCTTAAAGGTTGGTTCAACAAAAAATTCAATCATTTTCTTTACAAAACTTTCATCAAAGCTTAAAATTTAATGCAACTGTCTGCGAAAAAAGACACTTTTTCTTGAGCCGTGACTTTAAATAGAGAAGTGAACTTCTTATGATGCAGTGCGACTCCGTTAAATCTGGTTTGCTAAGTTAGTCTCCATAAGCTTTGTAGAGTGTTGTCTTACCGCGAGTAATAGTAGCCTAAGTCTAGACTTTTAAAGTTTACTTACCTATTTGAGGTAGACAGGTCAGCTATATTTTTATTCTGACTGTAGAAAACGATTATTTTTCTAAGGATTCGCTCTGAATGTTCTCCGATTAAAAATTAAGGTAAAAAACATGAGAAAAACTTTACCCGCATCAAATTCCAGAACTATACTTTTTATACAGCACTGCAAATTCATCTTTTTGCCATTTACATTATGCAAATTATTGAAAACCTCAACGCGTATTTTCCACTGTGTTTAACCATTTCCCATTACTTAACAAAATATGGGAGCCTTAGGTGTGCGTAGAAAGCACACCTTCCATTTACTTAAAATTCACTGAAGTGGCATAACTAATGCAGTTCCACTTATCCTTTTTCTCGTTCCGAGCAAACTTAAGCGATATGGGTGATCAACGCCTTTTTGCGGCGCCAGACAAAGGTGCTAGGCAATATTTTGCTACTGCTAAGCTATACCTAGTGCTCGCTTTGTAATGGACTTCATGTTTTATAAATGGCCTTAATTACTGGCTCGCATTATGATAACCGTCCTGCAAAATCAGGCACTTACAGTATAAAATGATGTGCATAATGGAAAAAGCGCTTGGAATTTTTGGTTTTGCAGCAATGCCTCAACAAATACACAGGAGTCAAAAAATTTTGAGTATCAAAATGTCTAATTGAGTATGTGGAGTGCGCAGTAAGCAGATCATTCGGGAGAGCATTAAATTGGAGCTGTTTTAAGTGAAGTTATATTCTGCGTTATATTGAGCACGGAACAGATCTTATGAGTGTAGATTCACACATTCGAACCTATAAACCATCCTTCATCTCATTTCACGATTGTTCTCTTTTGTTTAAAGCTGCAATTCTAAAGGCTCAAAAATAAATTGCTTTAAGTGTGGTTTTGAATATCACTTTCAATACCACACAGCAATGCTGTTAATGGAGTACTCAATGAACACTGTCAGTCGGTTCATACAGTAAGAAGGCCATGGATAACAATTACTTACCATCTACCATATTACTAACCTAAGTACGAGAATGTTTAATTGAAAATGATGTGGTGATTAAGGTATCCCAATTCAAATGTTAATGTGTTAAGACTATAATAGTATAATTAAAACAAACTTTGTTTCTGTAGCCGGACTCTCATTCGCCCAATTTGAGTGTTTGGTTTTAGATATGGTGACTCGCTAGTTGTAAACAGGACTCACAGAACTCATCAACCGTTAATACTTGTAGATCAT